GTTTCCAATATCAAGAAAACTGCCAAAGCTGCACCAAAAGCCAGATCAAGAAACTTCGGCTGAAGAAAGGCATAGATGGTCAACACAACTCTCATAAAAAAAAAATAATAGGTCCAAAAGGAGAAAGATTTCCTAAAGAATTTCAACTCAAATCACCTGAAGTATGAGAGCAGGAACAAACATCAAAACAGCCATTAAATGGTAGTATTTCCGAAGAAGAATCCTCTCAATCTTACTGCTCTTTGAAATGTTGTAAAACCGGATAACTGATACATAAATAACAACCAACCAATAGATACACAACGACAACCTTTTAAGCGGTTCTGACAGAACAAAGTCCAATACCCTGCAGCAATCACAAGACAGAGAAAACTAAAATATGAGCAAAAGATAGTAACACTTACCATATATTTGGAGGAAAAGGATATATGCTTTGATTCACTGTACAAATGAAGGAGTAGGTAGCCGAACAAAGAATTGAGAATCTCCTCTTAATTCAGTTTAGTTTTATCATTCTACCCTGATGGTTCACCACTTGGATAGATGGTAGCAACAAGCCTAGGGCTGAGTTAAAGCCTCAAGGGTTCAACTCCGTTCATAGGTCTTTGGCTCCACTTGGATAGATGTAGCAACAAGCCTAGGGCTGAGTTAAAGCCTCAAGGGCTCAACTCAGTTCATAGGTCTTTGGCTTGAACTCAAGCTTAACCGAGCTTCGCAAATGAAGGTTGATGTTACTTAAGCTAGAGCTTGGCTTAACAATTAAAATCTATATTATTATAAAAGCATGAATAAAATGTTGGATTACAAAAATAACCTTTTAATATTAAGCATAATAACTCACAATAAAAGGACATCATCGGAATTCTAGACATTAGCCTTGTAATCTTATTAGTTTTAGAACATAATACTACACGTTTGGAATCCTATTAGTATAATTATTTTCGGGCATAAATATTAGACTTGTAATCCTATTAATTTTAGGATATACTTCTTAAGAAATTCCTATTACTAATTTAATTTGAAAATGTATTATATTATTGTCCAAATCCATTTAGAAACAGGAGAGACTATATATTATTATAAAAGCACGAATATAATATTGATAGACCAAAATAGCCCTAAAATATTAAACAGAAGAACTCATAGGGAAAGGACATAGCTGTAATAACTTATTTTTTTGGACTGTAATAACTTATATGTTAATTTTTTAATATTTAAATTTTTAAAATTAATACAATCTTGTCTATTGAATTCTTATTTAAAATATGTAGGAATGTTTAATGAAATCAATTTTATAATAATCCCCCATATTGGTAATACATTACCACTCTATAATATTCAATACCAAAAAAAATATAAGTAATGCTAAACGGACTGCATAAAGCTTGAAATTGAGAAACAATTCCCAAGATAATATATTATTATATTATATTTGAATTATTTCCTACTCAAATAATATTTTATTATTATTAATTTTTCGTGTAATATATAAAAATATACCCAATTATTAAAGAACTAAGAAAATTTTTAAGAATATAAATGTGTGAGAAAAGAAATAAAAAGGTTGGTAAGAGCCAATACCACTAATGATTTTACAAACATAAAGATCTAAAAGTGGAACGTCATCGATCTTTTTACTCTTTAAAAATAAAATTTATGGTGGATAAAATTATAATCACGGTTAAATATTCAAACAAGAGATGAACTAATATTAAGAATCTAAATCAACAGAAAATAAATTATATTTTATGTTAAAACCAAATAATCAACAACAATGCAACAATAACAACCCACCTTAAAACCAAATAATCAAATCTTTTAATTAATCATTAAGCAAGAGAATCCAATTAAATTATTTTTAAAATTCATCATATGAGTAAAATTATTTTTCAAGTTAAAAAAAATCATCGGGTGCATAAATTTATTCCATAAAAAGAATGTTAGAGATTTTAAAAAAAAGATCACAAAGTAAAAAGATTAGTATGATATTAAGGTCATACAAGTGTTTGAGGAAGCACAATCAAAGCTAAATCCTGAACAAGAATAAGTTTTCATGACTATATTATAAAAAATCGACTGTGGTATAGCGGGATTATCCTTTGTAGATGCCTTCGACGGAATTGAAATAATATTCATATGTCATGCATTACTTGTAAATGTCATATTAAGAAGCATGATATTGTTAACAACAAGAACAAGTGGTGTACCACTAACGATTTTATTATGAGGTTGTCCAACTCACTTTAAATTTGATATACCTCTTCAAATAACTGAAATAACCATCACAAATATATCAAATCAGAGCAATAGTGCTAAATTTATAAGGAAAGCAAAAGTGATAATATGGGATGAAGCGCTTTTGGCTAAGCGTCAAACGATCGAAACAATCGCCCAGAGTTTTAGAGATATATTGGATATCGATGAACCGTTTGGTGAAAAAGTAAGAGTTTGGGAGGTGATTTCTGTCAAGTACGATCAGCAGTTCCAAAATGGACCAAAGCAGAAACTGTAAAAGTTAGCTTGTCAAAATTATACTTATGACCTCAAATGAAAAATATTCAAATGATAAGAAATATAAACGTAAGAACAGATCTAACATTCAGTGACTTCTTGCTTTGTGTCAGAAACGAAGAAGAGCATCCAATAAAAGATGATTTGGTTCTTCTAGAACACTTGGTTATCAACCCCAATGGTAATAGTAGTGTATTTAATAAGGAAAATATTTTCATCATTAGATTAATACGCAATTTGTGCAAATAACATGATAGAAATTAAAGAGCTATCTTAGCTAGCAGAAATGAATATGTTGATCAACTAAAAGGTTGATTCCTAAGTTTTATGATAAAAATAAAATATTTTTCAGTTTTGACTCAGCAGAAGATGATACCAACAACAACTACCAAGAAGAATACTTAAATATTTTAATACCAAATGGCCTTCTACTATACATGTTTGTTGTCAAGTTCATTATTTCTTATGTATGTTAATGTCACCATATATATAATAGACTAAGTTAAAATTGATCTTCCATTGCATATAGGTTGATTTTGAAGAAAAATATGCTTGTCATGCTACTGAAAACTTAGATCCGCTGAATAGCTTATGTAGTAGAAGTTTTATTATGCTACTGAAAGCTTAGTACACATATGGTATATAGAAGTTTTGACAATAACGTCACACATGCAGAACTTATGGTACTGATCAATGTGCTTCCACGTATGTGTTTATCCCCGAATTCAACTTTTGTCTTCCGAAACTAAAGAACATCCTTTCAAATTTGTGTGAAAATAATTTTCAGTATATTTATGTTTTTATAATTATAATAAATAAAGCACAAGGACAAACATCCTAAATATTGAACTATATTTACCACAATATATTTTCTTATATGAATACATATATGTTGCACTTTCAAGAGAGATATCAATATCGACAACAAGAGTTCTGGTTATCGCAGAGTAACCAAAGCATTAGAAGAAAACATATACAAAAAAACACCGTATATAAAGAAGTATTTTATAAGATACCATCATATTAGATACCTTTAAACTACAATACATAATTATCTACTTAACATGACTAAAATTGATCATTTATGTAAGTTATGATGATATCTTTTCATTTTGAATTCACGTATTATGCTAATCTAACAATATTTTTCGGCATTTAGATAAATGTTGTAGTATTATATATAAAATTTCTCTAATTAATTAAATTTATTGTTCCTTCATATAAATAAATATTTAAATCATCATGTGCCATTATTAACGTGCAACGCACGTTTATAGATACTAGTTTTGTGAAAATACTCAAAGCTCAAAAGTCATGCCTCCACAATTATTCAGTATCTTCAACACTAAAATTTTGTGAAAATAGCCATTGAAAACCACAAACTAATGTTGCCTAGTGGTATAGTTGCTTTAAAAAAATTTAAAAAAAAAAAAACACAAACTAATGTTGAAATGCTGGAGGTAGCCACTGATGGTGAAGTAGAAGATGAAAATAAATATGAAAATAGCAAGTGAGAATTGCATAATTTTGTGGCTCAGAATCTGATTCAATGGCATCAATATCCAGAGAAGGTAGGAATAACATAGGCGCTAGAAGAGCTTAACACGTTACCAAGAATTGATCCTATAACTTCAGGAACCACATTCTTAAAAACTGAACGCTGAACTTAGCTGTTTAAAGCAAATTTCTGGTCAATTACATTATTTTTTTCTCTTTTGCTTCAACTAAAAGAATACCGAGTAAGAATGTAAACTTTGTCCCAATAAGTCTTACCTCTTAGAATATTTAAGTACATACAGACCAATGAAAAATGTAGGGTAAGGCTGCGTACAATAGACCCTAGTGGTCCGGCCCTTCCCCGGACCCCGCGCATAGCGGAAGCTTAGTGCACCGGGCTGCCCCTTTATACAGAACAATGAAAAAGAAGCAAGAAAAACATCTAAACATCCCATTCAAGATACAGCAAAGTCTTCTCGACTCTTTTCCTTTTCGTTCGAGTACTTATTTTCTTTAAAAGTATGTTTTAACTACCAGCTATAAGTCACATAACTTCTTGCATAGTATCAGGTAACTGTTTATCAAAGAAACTTAACTGTCTAATGTAAGTGAGTCATCCCTACAAACCATTAGACCTCCATCAACCAAATCATGCAACAGAATAACAATATGCAACACAATATGTCCAATTATCCGACATATATGAGTTCTAAACGGAGGCTTACCATAGAAAAGGGTGAACATGAAAATCTTGAACAAGCTGCATCCATGATGGCACAGCTATAACAAGAACAAATACGAGGGAAACATAGAACACAAGAGATCGCCTCATTTGATCATCTCCTCTATCTCTAGAAGGTGCCGAGCTGACCCGCTCCAAAATTTGAAGCACATTTTTAAATAGCATAGGGAAAATAAGAAGGCCAGTAATCAATCCCTGGAACATAGTGTTACCTTTTCGTGATCAGTACTCTGAATCGAAATCTTTTACTCTATATGGAAAGAAGAGGATAGTCTAGAAAACTAATAGCTTGTACAATACCTGAATAATAATGCTAACTTCACTTCTCTGGACTCCATATGGCACCATCACTAGCTTAGATGCAGTAAAGTACCCATGGGACTGTTCACAGACACAATTCTGCTTATTAGATATCCATTTCATCTAATATCAGAGGAAGTAAAAGTATGAAACTAACCTTAGCAGCAGTACAAGCAAGCATATCACTGAAATAGATAACAAGGCCAACAGTAACCAGTAACGCTTCTCCTAAGAAGAGAAACAAGAATGTAAATTAGTGCGCAGAAGACAAGAGGACCATTCATCAAACAAAGCAAAACGAAATAGGACAAGTCAAATGATTTTTTGTTCTCTAAGATAACAAGAAATAAAGATTGCCAAAATAAGCCATGTCTGAACAGCGCTTTATGTGGAATAAAATATGTTCCAAGAATGCAACTTAACATTCAACACATTGTTCAAAGTTGCAGAATTCGATATGGAATTGGAGGGTCTTTATTCGGCAGCAGTCATAGCAAATTGATCGTAGATCAGCATTAAGTGCATTTTAGCTGCATATAGGCTTCAAAAATTCTTATATTAGAAATAATTTCAGAACTTTGAGGTGATTATTTGAATCATTATTTTAATCTAATTAACTACTAAAAAGACATTCAATATTGTATATAATTCGTAGGAATCCTCCTTCAAACTTCAGATAAGATAACTTCAACAAACTACAAGCCAATCCTACATCATAAGTGACATTACAATACCCAAGTAGCTTTAATCTTCTCTAAAAGGCGAGACATGCTTCAACTAACACCAAAATGTGAGCCACCCTAAAATAGAATATAAAAATAAAGTTTGAAAAGTCTAAAATTTACGATCAAGTTTCAGATCTTTTTAAATTAAGACTTCTCCTTTCCCATAGTTCGACTACAATTTTTCATGAGAAAAGAACAAAAAATAAAGGTTAATCCTAAAAAGAGTGAAAAAGATTGCCAACATCATCTTCGTATTCGTTATATTTGTCTTTACACGATATTATCACCAATGTGTCAATAACATCTGTGTTACCTACTACGTTTTTGCGTCATCTAGCATGACTACAACAGGAGCCATTAAATATGAATCATCAGCTACGCAGCAGTGGGATGGATATGAATCGATAGGTATGTATCGATGGAACTTATACACATCAGCAGATATGTAACTGTATCCGCCAATTGTTTAGACCATGACCAAATGGAACTGGGAAACTGGAACAATGAAGCTCTAGGTAAGAAAATTCCTTCATATTGTCTAACAGCCGAATAAATCTTAGTTTTACTGTGATTAGTGGAGAGAGAATGTGAACTAAATCTGTGAACTAAATCTTTGCACAACAGAGTGGACCCTCATATCAAGTGTGCAATTTGATAGCTGTGATGCTACATATATATCCAGTAAAATAAGAAACGTAGTAACATGACCAACCAATTGAAGCGCATGCTGGAAAAGTGTGAAGAATATTCTGAATTAGTTTTACTGCTGCAAACCCATGAAAGAACAGCCACAATAAGATTGCTACTGCATACCACCCTACAGGAGAAGTTGAACAAAAATTGTTAAGAAAGGCTCAACTTACTTACTGGGTTGACCAATGAATCAATAAGTAAACATAAGAAAGAGAAATTCACCTACCACCATGAGATTTCACAGCAAATGACACACAGCAGACTCCAAAATACAATGCTATGCAACTTAAGCTAACGCGAAAAGTAGCACAATTCTTGCTGTCTGATTGACGGTAAAAAATGAAGCAAAGATAAGCTAGCACGGTGAAGCAACTTGCAGATGTCACCCAATATAGTAGTTGCAGATTTTCAAGCTCTGCTAAAAGGTCAATATCAAAAGAAGTCAGTCATACAAGTGAGGCAAGGTAGGAATCAACATAAGCCCTGAATACAATCTCACCTATACTAACTAAAGTTTCTAACAGAAATCGACCTATTAGGTAAATAAATATGTAAAAGACAACCATGCTCCTTCTCAACTACACAAGCAGAAGCAAGATTATACCTTTCCTCTGCTAAACAGCCTTTTTCCACGTACAAACATCACAGGATAGAACGTAACTTAACAATCTTTTGAGATAAGAGATACAGTAGACAGCTAAATAAGCACAATATAGTAAATGTTACAAAAAATAGTGTTAATAACCTATCAATTTACAGTAAAATTATCCTTATTCTTCATACTGCACTTTTGGGCATCATAACTGTCATTACTATTTCATGTTTAACTAGTATGTTGTTTAAACCTTCATTTATTTCCCGAAACAATCCATTATCATTTTCAGTATAAAACAACAATGAGTACTATACCTTCAGTTCCAACTTGATTTAAAGATACAGCTCTTGAAATCTGGATCAACTTTGATACCATAAGCCCAGGAAGCGTTACTGCCCCCAAAATTATACCTGATGACGCACCAGGCCTGAAAAATAGTACCACAACTTATATAAATAAACAGTACAAGGAAAAATATACTAGTAGGAGTATAAATTAAAAAGAACAAATATTGAATTCAGAAATTAGCCATATTCAACCACAGATTTTCAATTAAATGAAATTAACATAAATCAAAGCAAAAACTATGTAAACTTGTAAATTGCAGATGCCGCTTAGTGGTTACAACTGTAACTCAAAAGCTCTTCTATCGGCCCATCCAAAAATAATGTATTTTTTAAAAGAAAAAAAAAGAGTAACCATCATGATAAATGCGGTGGTTAGCATAAAATTAATCAGAAATAAACCTGGTTTTGAAGAAGTGAGAGAGGGAAACTGAAGAAGAGGCATCGACGGAGATCTCGACAGAGAGGGCGAGGAGAGAGAGGAGAGAAAGGGAGAGAGATTCGGAGAGGAGAGATTGAGAGATAGAAAAGACAATTTGACCAATGAAGAGTGCTACCACAGCTCTCTCGCCGGTGAGAAACGACGGCGACGAAGCCATGGGTTTCCGAGCTGAAATTCACTTGAAGAAATCATCCATTTTGGCGTAAATAGGAAGAATTGTAGTAGACGCACGCGACCCGTGTGAACTGGGGAATTCGGTGGGTTTGGCGCGCACAGGTTTATATATATATATATATATGTTGTTGAAATGTCAGCTGCTTCTTTCCTCGTTTCTGATTTCTCTTCTTTTTATTTCCGTTTTTTGCGTCGAGACTGCGTCGTTTGTTTGTTTTCTCTCTTTCCATTGGTGGACTACGCCTTGAAACTTTCAACGGATATTCCTCCGTTTTCTTTTTTATACTCGCTCACTTCCAGTTCCAGTCGAACCTATTTTTTTTTTGTCCGTTAAAAAAAGAATGATCATTTTCTAATTTTGAAAATAATTTAGCTTAAACTTACAATTCTAATCATTTCAACGGTAACATTGGCAAATCCCTCTCCTCTCACGTGAATCCCAAATTTGGATTACTGTTCCGGCCACGACCTCCTACGATCAATGGACCCAGTGGTCCCCCGAACCCACCGTCTTTAATCCTCATCCAGATTCCGACAACATCACTTATCCCAAATCAAAAATCCTTTACACCCCAACCCACAAACATTAGTGGAATTTCTTTTCCTAATCAAAATTCCCCAAACCCCTAGACCCCTTTTTCTTTTTCAAATCAAAACCTCCAAATCACTTTGAACCCAGGAAATTTTGAAAGTACTACTGCTAATAAAGCTGCTAGCTCTCAAAGCAAAATCAATGGCGACAATTCTTACGTAGGTACCATAGGAATCAAAACCCCAAAACCAAGGAGCAAAATCTGACTCCCTCCCAGATCTTACGAGGTGATTAACGGCAAACCAGTGGTAAGTTTCACTAAGGAGAAAAATGATATCTTGGCGCAGTCATGCAAATGGACTATAGTCGGTAAGTTTTCTAAGATCCGTCCCTCGATCGACATTATTAGGAAGGAATTCGCGAAAGTGTTTCCTGTGAAAGGATGCATAACCATTGGAGCTTATGACATGAAATATGTATTTATTGATTTTGATAAATTGGATGATCACAATGCAATAGCTATTAGAAGTTTTGTGAATTTGGGTGGAGATTTTGTGATGAGTCTTGAGAAGTGGACCACAAAATTTAAACCGGAACCTAATACCACCAAAGCCCCGGTATGAATCACACTTCCTGATCTCCCATGGCATTTCTATGAGTAGGACGCAATATGTCGTATAGTTGATCCTATAGGCTTTCCTTTGGTTTTGGACAAGGCAACAACCACCAAAACAAGACCCACTACTGTAAAGCTTAGAATTGAAATTGACCTTGTAAGGCCAATTTTAAATGAGATTATTGTCGAGATCAGGAACCATGAGGGCAATATAGAAGAGTTTATTTAGAAAGTTGAATATGAATCACTACCTGTATTTTTCAATCACTGTATGAGGCAACGACATTCAGACAGAATATGTAGAATTTTACATCAAGAACTGAGATTTCAGAATGGTAGCGAGGTTAATGAGCAAACCACAAGGAATGATACTAATCAAAATGAAAATGTGAGAGAAGATAGGAGAAATGAGCAAAGAAAAGAACAGTGCAGGCCTCAGAATGCTGGACAGACCAATGGCAATTCACACGCTGCTGTAAAACCCACGGGTAACAGACCAGCTAACAACAGCAGTGCTACCAATATCGACAAAGGATCTGAAGATGGTTGGCATACTGTGAATAAAAGAAAGAATAAAAACAATGCTAACAACAATCATGTTGTTATGACAACTCAAAAGGGGAATGATACTAACACCGCCAATATGATCAATGATGGACAAAGTACTGTGATTGTCACCCACAACAACAGCGAAGGTGAAGTGAATATGAAAGTGATGCCAGTTGCTGCTTCTTTGATCCCTCAAGCTCAGGCCAAACACACAATAAGTGACATATACAACACTAACAAAGACAATAAAAAGAAGTCAAAATTACTTACTATCAACAAGGCTGGTAAAAAAATATATCAGGGAAAGGAGGCTGATTACCCAGAGATTGAGTTGAGCAGTGAGTTGAGTAGTGATTTTGTTAATAATCAAAAGGACATCATGAATACTTCACTAGTGAATATAAAGCTAGAGGAAACAAAGAAGATGAACAAGAAAGGGAGAAAGTTTAAAGAAAAAGTGTACATACCAGGTGATGTTGTTTTGACAAGTGACATGGATCAGGAAAATCATAACTTGGTGTATAGACCACTCTTTGGCCTTGACCCCAAACTTGCTGAGAAATATGCTAGCTAGAAGGATAGAGAAAGGGGGTTTGAATATCAACTGCTAGATGAGCCACCAAGAATCATTGATCTAGGAGAAAATAGTCAGATGGCCTTGGGTGGGAAAGCAAATGCTATCAGTGATTCCCAAGACCATGATATGATTATGGAAATATCATCTGAAGATAAGAAAAACTCTTTATCCGATGATGATCATATGACAGGGAGGTATCAAAGTGTCGAAAGCAATCATGTGATTACCTCCCAAGTCCACCAAAAAATTATTCAATTCAACAATCTCTCTCTAAGAGGACTTGGTGATTAACTAGGTGAGATCAATTGGGCTCCTAACAGTAGGAATCCATAAGAAATTTCAAAGGCTCAGGGGGAACAAAACTCAAATGTTTCAAATGATTAGTTGTTTATCATGGAACATTAGGGGCATAGGGTCCCAAGGTGCTGCGGAAAGGCTCAAAACCATTAAAACCCAATATAACCTTCCTTTTATTTTCTTGCAGGAACCCATGAAAGTGAGAGCAAGGAAGATTGAAAAGTATAAAAAGATGCTTGGATACCAAGAATGTTTTCACAATTGTTCCAACAAGATATGGGTCTTTTGGTCTGTTGATTACAAGATCAATATCCTGGATGATAAATAACAACGAGTTTTACTTCAAATTTCTCAAATTCATGGGAATATTTCATTTCACATTACCATTGTGTATGCCAAGTACGATGAAAACCAAAGAGTTGTTCTATGGGATAAACTCAGAAGCACGTCCAATAACATTAACGACCCTTAGGGAGTGGTTGGTGACTTTAATATAGCTATTAGCTCAGAGGAGAAGCTGGGTGGCTTACCCTATAGAATTCAAGAAGGAATTGATTTCCTCTCCTGTCTGAATGACTGCAATTTACAAGACAGTGGATTTCATGGAATTGTTTTCACTTGGAGACAATAGGGACCCTCCCAACACAATTTGGAAGAGATTAGACAGATTAACATACAATGTCGAATGGTTTGATCTATTTGGGAAGACCAAAGTTACACATCTCTCTAGGATATGCTCTGATCATGCCCCGTTGCTGATGGAATATGGGAATTCTGATCCTACTCATACTAAATATTTTAAATTTTTGAATATATGGGTGGACTATGATGAATACTTGAATGTTATCCAATAATCGTGGGTTGAAGAGGTTCATGAGAATCCCCTTTATATCCTCCACCAAAAGACTAAAAGAGGATGCAGTACTCTGAGGAGATGGTCAAAGGTTACTTTTGGTAATATTTATGAAGAACCAAAGAAGTTGGAAAAGCTTATTAAGGAACTTGAAGAGGAATCTATTACCAACAATACTCAAGATATCAGGACCAAGTTGGCTAGAACTAAAGCTGAATTCACCAGTTTCTTGATTCTTCAGGAGAAAGTTCTAAGGCAAAAAGCTATGGTCAAATGGTTAGATGAAGGAGATGCCAACACAGCTTACTTCCATGGAGTAATTAAGGATAGAAGAAGAAAGTTTTTCATCCTCAAAATAAAAAATGAGGAAGGAGAATGGATAGAGGGCACCAATGATATGGCAAGTGCAGCTGTCCAGTTCTTTCAAAAGATGTTTCAAGCTGATATTGTTGTAGAAGACTCTCAGATTCTAAATATAGTAAAGAAGGTGGTTACTGAAGCTGATAATGCTGATCTGACAATTATACCTTCCCTACAAGAGGTTAAAGATTGTATATTCTCGATTGATCCTGACAGTGCACTGGGCCCTGATGGCTTGAGTGTTAAATTATATCAAAGTGAACGGGAAATGATTTCTTATGATATACATAAGGCAGTGGGTGCGTTCTTTAGTGGTGCCATTCTACCTAGGTTTTTCTCCCACACTTGTCTGATAATGCTTCCTAAAGTGGATTCTCCACAAAGTTTCTCAGACATCAAACCAATCAGTCTCTATAATATATCTAGTAAGATCATTACAAAGATCATAAATGCTAGACTCAGCCTCATTTTGCCCAGGATCATTTCTCTTAATCATAGTGGTTTTATTAAGGGAAGGTTGATAAATGAGAATATCTTACTGACCCAAGAGATTGCTAATAGTATTTTCAAGCCTAAAAAAACCTTGTCATTAAACTTGACATGGCTAAAGCTTATGATAGAGTGTCCTGGCCTTTCTTATGTTTCATGCTCAGACAACTTGGTTTTGCTGAAGTGTGGATAGCATATTCATATCCAACAACTTGTACTCTCTTATTGTCAATGGTAGCAGGCATAGATTCTTCAAGTATGAAAGAGGACTCAGATAAGAAGATCCTCTTTCACCCTCACTTTTTATTCTCTGTGCGGAGCTGCTTTCCCGAATGCTGAATGAACTCCACAATAATAACAAATTCATAGGGTATTATATTATTCGCAATGGACCACAGATTTCTCATTTTTCCTTTGCTGATGACACAATTATTTTTTGTAGTGGTATTAAGCAAACTCTGAAACTGGTGCTAGCGACTTTAGAATCATATGAGAAGATTAGTGGTCAAATGATCAACAAAGCCAAAAGTTATTATGCAATGGCACCTAAGACTGCTATAAGCTCTATTACTAGAGCTTGCAGAATTCTTGGTATGAGACATGGTAATTTCCCTATGAAGTACCTAGGGTGTCTTATATATACTGGGAGGAAAACTCTTTTCACATTTTTATATATAGTGAGCAAGGTCATTAACAAAATCAAATGATGGCAATTGAAATTCTTATCAATAGGTGGAAGGGCAGTTCTCATCAAGCATGTTCTCCTGGCTCTCAATATTCATAATTTTACTTCAGTGCATCCACCCAAAGGATCCTTGATAGAGACATATTTGGCCAGA